AAGTTTGCAGTGGGGTTACAAACGAGAAGGAGAGAAATATGGTGCACGAGAGGTCCAGTCGGCTCCGGTCGGAAGGGCCGAGAGCGACAGGAGCTCCCCTATGAGCTAAATGTTCAAGCGTGTGCTTGAGGTCCGAACCTGACGGTCCTGTGGTTGTGAGCTAGTAAACTTGATCGATCTGGATTAACTTGTATGAACTTGAATCAACTGAGTCTCTTGGGAGAGAGCGCATCCCCTTTTATAGATAAAGGGGATGGCCTTACAAGTGAGAGGAAGAGAGTACGTATGCTTCTAAGTCTTGTTGCTCATGTCGATGGGTACAAGATGATGGTAGGCGTCCACAACACTGTTGGATGTCAGATGCGCGTGGAAGGTTACGTCGTCTTGTTTCGGGTATGGCAGATGTCGGCACCTGCATATACTGTTGATGCCCAGAGGCATGTGAGGAGTTTCACCATGTTCACTCGGTACGGTAAATCTCGGCGCTCACAACACTGTCGATGCCCAGAGGCATGTGGGGGGCCTTACCGTATGGGAGTTAACGGCGCCCACAATACTGTAGAGGGAGATGTCGGCGTCTACAATACTGTTTGTGTCAGGGCAGTTGCAATGTACTGTTCCTACAGGTGTACAGGGTACGGTCCTTGGTATCACGGTTTGACTTTGAGTGCTTTGTCTTGCTTTCTCCGTTCGTTCCCTGGTCCTTTTCGGCGTGGGTGTTCCTAGTCGGTTGATCCCAGTCGGCTCTGGTTGCGCTAGTCGGAAAAGAGCAGTGAGCAGGGTCTTTGCATACCCCGGTCGGAGATGTGGGGTCGGAGTCGAGGTAGTGCTTTGCCAGGCCTTCCGGTCGGAGAGACCGTCCGGAGGCGGCTGGAGACCGAAGTGAGCGCTCAGGTCGGAGAGGTGGGCCGGAGTCAACAAGCGGGCGTTGTTCCGCCTCGGCTAGACATTCCATTCGGTGACTGGACCGCCCTCCTGGGCCTGTTGTTTAGACTCTTAGGCCGGCCCATGAGTTGTGCGCTGTCTGCTTGGACCGAGCCTTTACGGGGAAGCCGGTCCGCGAGGGACTCTAGATTTATGAACCCGACAGTACCTTTCTTAGAAATTATGTTGATAAGTTTGTTCCGCAAAATATTATACATAAAAGTTATGTGCATAACTTTGTCACGTAGTAAGTTACGTTGAAGACATATATTGAAGTCATGTGTATAAGTTTTACGTTGAAATTTGTTCCACGAGTTATACATAAAAGTTGTGATTATAACTTTGTCACGTAATAAGTTACGTTGAAGATATATGTTAAAGTCATGTGTATAAGTTATTCATTGAAATTTATTCCACAAGTTATACGTTGTGAGCATAGCTTTGTAACTTTTCAAAAAATGAAAGTTGTGGAATTTTTTTTTTTACAAAAAAAGAAAGTTGCTGGGACGCTGGATCGTTAATTCGCTGATCCCACATGTGCGCAGCGCAGCCGAGCGTGCAAAAACAGAATGAGCACGCGCAGCACCAACCAAATATAGAAAAGCGGTGAATTTTTTTTCCAAAAAAGGAAGCAGCGGCTGTCTAAATTTTGTTCGCTTGATTCGATTCCAATGAACGTTCGCGGATTAGTGTCGCTGGAATTAATCTCCATGAGGATTTCCGCCCCCGCATAAATTTCACACAAAATCAGCGATATATCAACAACCAACAAATCAACATGGTCATCAACTCATCATAAAAAAATTATTGATAGATCTTCATATATCTAGTGCACTACAGATTTATGAAATATGAAATAATAGATTGGTACAAAGATTTCACTTATAAATATAATTACAACATCGACAGATTGCATAGCCATCAGAATGAGAGTTTAAGTCACACACAAAAATAAAAATAAAAAAGCCATCGGAATGAGAGCACGAAACACGAAATCTATCGGGGACTATTCTTCTCCCCATTTCAAACCTCACGGGGGCTAAATTGGCACTATCCCTATCCCCTAATACGGGGATCAAATCCCCCTTGCCATCTCTAGACCAAATTAGGGCCAGCAATGTGCCGGTGCCTACAGCTAATAAGGGTTGGAACAAGGTTGGATGGCGGAAGAGTATTTCGGACAATTTGCTATAGCTGGGTTGCCTAACTAATGAGATACTTGTTAGCCAGATACCTAGCTAGTAATTAGTTAGTTGATTAGCTAGACCCCTTTGATACAAAATTGCTCCTTATTAGCTCTATGGATCATACAAGCCTATAGCATTAAATGTTTTACTTTGTTGAACAAGTGCATGCATAAAATAATATAGGCCCCATTCGCTGGGAGGAATTTGGAGGAATCTGGATGGTTTTGGATGAATCTGAAGGAATTTGTGAAAGAAAAACACTGTTTCAGATGAAAAAAAAAGCGGATCCAGCCGGGTTTAAGGGCACGCAAACAAGCCCATAAGGTGCAGCCACACTTAAGTTAAATGTGGCATGTTCCCAAAAAAACGAGATAGACAATATGGATAACAGTTCAACGCCACAGTTATTATATTATTAAGGCTAGTTTTAGTGAAGGTTTCATAAAAGTTTTATGGATATGATATAGTATAAATAAAGAGAGATGATAAAAACTTCATGAGATAGAATAAGTTTGGATAATCTACATTGTTTTCAACACATGAGTCTTAAAAACTAGGATATAAAACTCGCACTGAGGCTAGCTTAAGTACGATGACTAGTACCTTAACACTTCGACAACATGATTGTCTGTTTCATAAATTAAAAAGTAAGAATAAAATCATCATTGCAGTCTATAGGAGCAGAAACACCAAATTCCCAAAGTTACACAGAGACTAGACACGTATATTTGTTCGAAAGATGATTACATATTAGTCACATATATACTACAATAGATAATATAAGTTATTGTATAAATTATTTTGAACATTCTAAATAGCATCCATTATTAAATGACATGTGGTCATACATAATACTCCATCCAAAAGTCTAAACCATCTTAGCAAAATTGATTTTTTCAAAAATCGAAATCATCTAAGCTTCTCTCTGCCATTTTACTTGATTTCCGGCACTCACAGGTCGGATTCCAGGCTGAATCAATGCACGAGTGCTCTCCGGTTGAGTCCGTTACCTTTATTTATTCTCTCCGTCAGGTCTGTTTTTTCATCTAGAACCTCTGCATGCACCTCCGCATGCAACGGCATGAGAATATCTGTTTACATGGGAAAAACAAAAAGGACGCTAAGACATTAACAGGAACACGGTGATCAAATAAAAATAGCACGCTTAGAGCAACTCCAAGAGAGTTGCTATTCATAGTATGGAATCAAATTTAGACGTTTTGTGCTACAAAATAGACTCCAACAGACGTTGTATCTGGAGTTGTAAAATACCCAGCTGTCTATTCCGTGAATCTCGGTGGCCAAAGAAAGCTAGCGAGCGCCGCTTGCTATCTCGCTTTTCCGTGTGGCTTCGCACACATGCGGCCGGTTGCCGCGCTGTCCTGGCCGTTCCCCGTCGCGAGTCGCCGACTCGTCGGCTGCCCTTTCCGGCACTCCACACGCATGTTCCTCATCACGCTGCCCTACCCCTTCGAGCTCCACAAAAAATCACGCCGTGGCACTACGCAAGCTTGTCGCATCCACCATCTGCAGGAGCTCTGCCCTGCGTTGTACGTACTCGTTCCCAATCCTTCCTAGTCAGAACGGCGCTAATCCCTTTTCCAACTGGCTACATTCGATTTTGATAGATTGGACGACTCCTCCAAGTGCTAGCCAAGGCCGGATGCACGGGCGTCAAATACGTAGCATGGCCGCTGCTGTAGCTTGGGTGCAATTAGCCAACGAGCCGAGCTACCACCGTGATGGTTGTGTCAGGTGGCTGGTCACGGAGGAAGCAATGGCCCGGTGACGTTCCAGCGGCGGACTACTGCACCATGGAGCCTCAAAAAAGATGATGTGGTGAGCTATTTAGAAAGGCGGTTGCAGTTCACTTTCTTTTTTAGAGATTTTCTATTTTACATAATGGCTAAATCAAAGAATTTAACATCTATTTTTAGCGGATCTCTTGGAGATGCTCTTAGAGTCCTCTTTGGTCACTGTGCCAGTTCTACAGTAGATAAAACATTGTCAATAGGAGAAGCTCACGGACCGTCTGTTAACTACTCATTCTAAATTGTAAGTCGTCCTGACTTTTATAAGTACACAGCTTTTTATACGCACCTAGATATAATAGAAGCTATGCATTTGAAAAAAGGACTTATAATTTAGAACAGAGAGGATAGATAGCATCTCTGTCTCCATTTCTTGTGAAATAAATTCGTACCTGATACCTCTTCTAGACAGAGGATGTCACCCCACTATACACGCCCTCGAGATCAAACACTTGGGTAGTTGCGTGTGACTGTGATCCCCCGCTTTGTTCCTCATACTGGTCCATGGCACTTTCCGCGTGTATCAACCACTCAGGGTCAGCATTAAAATAACCGTTTTCTTCCTGTACAGAAATGGATCGGTATACTAGCATAATTCGACAACTCAATACTAGCTGAAGCAAGACCAAAGACTACAAACCAAGGTACACGATCTGGGAGCATGATCCATGTTCTCGATGCTGGCGTCAGATATCACTTCCTATGCATAAATGGATCAGTATACAAGCACAGTTCGACTATTCAAGACTAGCAAAAATAAACAACAGTGAGTACAAACCGAGGTACACGAGCTAGGAGAATGATCCATGTTCTCGATGCTAGCGTCAGATTTCACTTCCTGTGCATAAATGGATCAGTATACTAGCACAGTTCGACAATTCAAGACCAGCAAAAATAAACAACAGTGAGTACAAACCAAGGTACAAGAGCTAGGAGCATGATCCATGTTCTCCATGCTTACATCAGATTTCACTTCCTGTGCATAAACGGATCAGTATGCTAGCACAATTCGACAATTTAAGACCAGCAGAAGCAAAACAAGGACTACAAACCAAGGTACACAGAGCACGATCCATGTTCACGATGCTGCCGCAAATTTCACCACTTCTTCCCACCATTCAGGATCCTCCGCACCAGCCTCAATGATGGATTTACCGTTCATGTTGCCGTTTTCAATGTTGCTTTCCACGACATTGCCCTGATATTCTGTCTGGTATGATTCCATCAGCTCAGGAATCACATCCCAAGGTACAGGACGCAAGGGAGAACGGTAACCTACTCCAAGACATTCATGTCATGACTAAGGATAATCTGCGAACTGTTAACCGCTGCAATAATGGCCCTCGCTTACCTTGACAATCAGGGTCATGACACTTTTGGTAGTATGCTGCTCTTTGGAAATCAACAATGTAAAACACTGGTGCATTTCATGACACAATTAGTGATAGGATACTGGGAAAAACTATCAGGGTATTGGAGACAGCTGATGCTGCAGGAAAAGTTATATGTTGTTCTTCTAGATGTTAAAATGTTATTGTTACCATGATTGCTCTTATGCTCTCTTCCAATATTCTCACAGTATCTGCTCTTTAACGTGTTATAGATTATCAAACTCTCCTGAGAAAACCAGAACCAAGATCGAATTTTCCCTGCAATACAACAGATTATCAAATTTCAGTTGCTATCTTGTTGTTGGTTGCTTTTTGTTGTTGCGTGGCCCTTTTGGGGTCCTACTCTGTTGTAATGCCCAGTTTGGGTGTCTTCTAATTAATATAATCAGCAGCTCCCCTGCCTGATTCTTTAAAAAAAATATGTTTCAGCTAATAATATATATCTAGCTGTACCAATACTGACATCATAGAACGAAGCATTTATTTGCCTTCAACATTAAATAAGAAAATATGGTAACATAAATTATGTCGATATAATGTGGTCTTAATCTACTCTAAGATTAGCTTCTGTATCCCACAGAATGCCAACAATGTGCTCTCCTCTATGGAGTCAGGCAGAGTTTTCGATGTTGTTGTCCCCTAGGTATAGACAATGAGGTAGTGGATATTTCCTAAAAAAAAGAGAGGTAGTGGATAATAAGCCAGCTCTAGGGGAAGTATCTATATTTGGTGATACACACAGGCAGTTGTCTGTTTTGTTGGAAAAAGAAAAGAAAAATATTGGGACAAGATGTCTCTTGGACATGGATACATGTAAGCGGAATCAACTTGGATTCAGGTACTCTGCAAAACTGTTTGAGGTGAATGCACAACAGTTTCTCAGCCATGTTTTTAGATAAATAGGCTTTATTTATTTAAAATAAAATTCCAGTCTCTAACAGAGCGGTACACACGGCCATTACAAATAAAATAAAAAAGAAAGAAAGAAACCAACAGGGAGCTAGGGATCAATCAAGCCTACCATTCCACTTTGGGAAAAAATAGACATCATATAGAATTAACTGCTATAACATGACTGCACATGGCATGAACATCCATTCCAACATTTGGAAAAGTATAACACAATAAACATGGCAAACATCATCTTGTGGAATATACATAAACATATATTAGTCAAACAAATAAATGACTATCAGAACAAATTGAAAGGCATAATCAAGAGGAAGGCTGAACCTGAAACATTTCCAAAAGAAGCGATGGATTCTATAAAGCCATCCAAAGCTGGAAAAGGAGATTTTCCATAAGTATATGCATGAGAAAAATCACTTCGATATGTAGCAATGCGGTCCCTGTAGCTCCTTCCTTGAATCTGGTCATGGCAAAATACAAAAATATATACACAAAATCAGCCTATACTAAATTTAAATTGATTTTCTTAAGGAGAGAAAGGCAGACAAGCACCCTCTCAGTACCTCTCAAGGACAATAAAAAAGCTTACTGCATAACAACATTTAGGCACAAGCACATTTTTCAAGCTCCCAAACTTGAATACACACAAGTTTTCAGCATAGTGTTCAAGATTATTGCCATCAGTTTATACTTTCCCCACAAACCAAGAGAGTGACAAGTCCAAGCAGCAGAGGCCCCATAGTTCCTTGCACAATGAGTCAATGAATTCAGGTGACTGGTAGTGAAGAGGCAGAATCAGATGGCAAGCCGGAATAGGAGGGGCCACACATTTCCAAGCGAAAGGTGAGCTCCTCCATGAGTTAGTTTTGAGGTTTAGGTGGTTTGTATTCAGTTGGACATAAATGCCCCATCTACCGAACGCAACTTATGAGTAGCAACACAGACATCTCAGGGCTTTCAGGCCACCATGCTCGCAATACGTGCAGCTTACATGTCCAAGCCAAGGCTACTGAGGTACAAAAGATTATGAAAAGGAATTCAATGTTGCCACTTCAAGATAAAGATCTATAATCTCTGGTTAACTACAACAGAAAAGGTCATGTACTGTTTTTTGAAGTGCTGCACTTGTGAATTTAAAAACTACTTCCTCCGTTCCAAATTATAAGTCGCTTTGACTTTTTTGGTTTATCCATTTTGCTATGTATCTAGACATATTATTTATCTAGATGTATAGCAAAATAGATGTACCAAAAATATCAAAGTGGCTTATAATTTAGAACAGAGGGAGTATGTTACAATCTCCTTCCTCTCTTAATTGAAAAGAAGAGCTCCTGCCATTTTCCTTCAAAAAAACTGCCAAGAATTCCTAAGTATCAATAATTGCTTGCCGGTGCAGAATGATTTGTAATACTCCCTCCGTTTCCTTTTTTAGGACGTATTAGGATTTGAGGAAGTCAAACTTCAAAAAATTTGACTAACAATTGCATGCTTAGTGTATGAAAAAATATATCAATACATCGGTATCTCAGATTTTGATACAACATTGATTTTGTAGCAACTCATGACATGTTGTAAGAGATCGATGTCAAAGCACGCTTCAATTTTTCCACATGCTAATACGCCTTGTAAAAAAGAAATGGAGGTTTTTCCACATGCTAATATGCCTTGTAGAAAAGAAATGGAGGGCGTATGAAAGCAAGGAAATATACTAAGTTTCAGGTAATTTTCAGAAAAGTACACTAGCAGGAAAAAGTAATGCTGTGGTCCAAATTGCAAACACTTACTTGAGGCGTGCTGATTTCAGAGTCAAAATACAATGTTTTCTTGCATTCCAAGTCTAGTTTGCATATCAACAGTTTTTCACAGTTATCATCCAGTCTACAAATAAGTGACTCCATAAAGACATCTTTATCATTCTGTAATAATAAGAATACGATGTCACATGTAATAGGTGATATCGATATCAAAAGTTCATAAGCTTTTCAATAGAATGACATGCAAACAACTATTTGATGATGCCACGACAGAGATTTTGTAACAGATGCATGAAACTGGAGATCATATATAGCATTGCATCTATTGAGCAGATTTTACATTCCTCCAAGCAGCAGAAACAAAAGTGTGGACTTCTACTTAAATTGTCTATTACAATCCAGGATTAAGATAAAATACCTCAAAAGCATTTAGAACATTATAACAAAATATTATAGCAAATCAATCAGAAGTTAATTGTTTCTAAACATGATGAATTTTATCTTTGGCGCTAGAAAACATATTCACTTAGTATAAAAAATAGACCGTTTGATCAAGGGCTAACCATTTCCTGGCATTTGAAGCGTTTGGTCGGCACAAGAAATGATTTCTTCCCAGACTTTGATGAGAAAACTAAACGGAAACAACGATTACGAGAGTAAACTGCAGTATCCATAAAGAGCTGATCAACAGGACCTGAGCTGCTTTCTTTTGTAATATATAGTTTATCAAGGTCAGGATTGGCTGCACGCTGAGCCGCGATTTGTGAACAGACCTGCTGGTAAGAATAAAATGTCATTTGTAAATCAAAACAATATTTTGTTTGTATTCCAAGATAACATATATCGAAATACAACTAGTCCAGATGTGCAATAAAAACTAAGATAATTTACTTTTTCCCCCAAATACGCAAAAGATTTACGTATCATTGTAATTAAGGTAGAAATATTTGACCACTAGTCCAGATGTGCAATAAAAACTAAAATTTACGCAAAAGATAATTTACTTACAATTTTGATATGGACAGTGCTATTAGACAAGAAGACAAAAGGAAGTCTATGATGAAGCACAGCAACACACTAATTAATGGCTATTAGGAGCCACATAGCTGATCCACTTGTCAAAACAATTAAGGTACCATACGTCCCACTACACCTTTTTAGTGTACATGCGGCCTTTTTCCAGCACATGTCAAGTCACAGTACACCCGGTAGCACCATTGATGGCATATTCCCACGAATATCTTGAACTTCTTTGGACCTAGTGTACTGAAGCCTTGCATGTGACTTTGACATGTCTTACCTGCTTATGTATAAGCAGACAGGACAATAATTTTCGCTGACACTCTCATCCTCGAGTATATTCCTTTTTAGATCCTTATCTCGAGTACAAGTACTCGGACACAGGCTCGGGGCTGCAGGGTACATATCCTCTATGGATGTTTTTTTTTTCTTTTAGACCCTCTAACTCTTTGTTTTGCAAACAGCAAGAGGCTCGGGAGCTACACTTAGTGAGTGTACTTTTTCGAAAAATGCACGTCATCCGGAGGCTTTACAGAGCACCTCATGGCTTCACTCACGAAAGCACTCGAACTACGTTTGTTTCTACCCGGCAAGATCAGGAGGAATAAGAAGGCTTCCGAGTTCAACCATGACATGCTTGGGGGCTTGACGGACCAGGGTCCTAGGGGTTCCCCATGGGGGTACCGCTTGGATGGACCCTGAGGTGGCCCACGATCTATTGAAGGACGCAAGACAAGGTGGCGTGGACTTCTAGTTATTCTAGATCAACTTAGTCAGTTTACTATAAAAACTAGGTTCTGTAATATGACTAGGACTCTTCTCTTGTTACCGACTATGACTAGATACGTGCCCTTACCCTCTCCCTTATATAAAGAGAGGTACGGTGCACTCCCTTTAACCCTAACAATCATACGATCAATCCAACGCAAAAGGCTATACGTCGACTGGACGTAAAGGCTATTACTTGATAAGAGAGTCCGCACCAGTATAAATCATTCGTCTCTTTGCGTTTACCATCGAGTTCAGCGTACGCCGAAGCCCTTTGAACACCGTTGAAAGGTTCTAATGGCTAGAGGGGGGAGTGAATAGCCGATTAAAAATTTCTACAACGACACTTAGCAAACCGGTTAGACAATTATGAGGCGAAGCAAGTGTTGAGCTAGCCTACTAAAGTTGCAAGCCACCTACCACAAATCTAGTTTATATAGTTTCTATCCACACAATAGCTATGTCACTACACTAAGTTAGTGTGCTCTCAAAGGCTAACTAAAGAGTCACACTAACCAAACTAATAAGCTCTCACAACTAGCTACACTAAAAAGCTTGGCAACTAGTTTACGGTAATATAGAGAGAGAAATAGCAAGATAGTTATACCGCCGTGTCGAGAAATGAACTAATCAATCACAAGAATGAATATCAATGAAGACCAATCACCTCGGAATCAAATGATGACACAACGATTTTTTACCGAGATTCACTTGCTTGCCGGTAAGCTAGTCCTCGTTGTGACGATTCACTCACTTGGAGGTTCACGCGCTAATTGGCATCACACGTCAAACTCTCAATAGGGTGCCGCACAACCAACATAAGATGAGGATCACACAAGCCACGAGCAATTCACTAGAGTACATTTTGGCTCTCCACCGGGGAAAGGTCAAGAACCCCTCACAATCACCACGATCAGAGCCGGAGACAATCACCAACCTCCGCTCAACGATCCTCGTTGCTCCAAGCCATCTAGGTGGCGGCAACCACCAAGAGTAACAAGCGAATCCCGCAGCGAAACACGAACACTAAGTGCCTCTAGATGCAAACACTCAAGCAATGCACTTGGATTCACTCTCAATCTCACAAAGATGTTGAATCTATGATGAAGATGAGTGGGAGGGCTTTGGCTAAGCTCACAAGGTTGCTATGTCAATGCAAATGGCCAAGAGAGTGAGCTAGAGCCGGCTATGGGGCTTAAATAGAAGCCCCCACGAAATAGAGCTGTTGTACCCCTTCACTATGCACAACACGGGGTGACCGGACGCTCCGGTCATATCGACCGGACGCACCTTGCTAGCGTCCGATCAACGGATGGCTGCCACGTCATCCCTCTCTTCAAATATTGAGCGTCCGATCTCAACGGTCAAGTGATGACTGGACGCAGCACAGTGCCACGACCGGACGTAGGACCCTAGCGTCCGGTCATTTCTAGTAAGGTTCCAGCTACGACCGGACGCGTCAGTTAGATCATGACCGGACGCAGGACCCCAGCGTCCGATCATTTCCAGTAAGCCTCCACTCGCGACCGGATGCGTCCGATCAAGCCCGACCGAACTCACCCAACGTCCGGTCACACACTGTCTCCTCTGTGCACTGCCACGTCAGCAGGACCGAACGCACTCATCCAGCGCCCGGTCACAAAGTGACCCAGCGTCCGGTGCACTCTGTGAAATCCTGTCTTTTCTGTACAGCGCGCCGGTGAAGTTTCTTACCCTTTCTCAAATGTGCCAACCACCAAGTGTATCACCTTGTGCACATGTGTGTTAGCATATTTTCACAAACATTTTCAAGGGTGTTAGCACTCCACTAGATCCTAAATGCATATGCAATGAGTTAGAGCATCTAGTGGCACTTTGAAAATCGCATTTTAATACGAGTTTCATCCCTCTTAATAGTACGGCTATCGAACCTAATTGTGATCACTCTCTAAGTGTCTCGATCACTAAACCAAAAAGGCTCCTACCATTTATACCTTTGCCTTGAGCCTTTTGTTTTTCTCTTTCTTGTTTTCAAGTCCAAGCACTTGATCATCACTATGGCATCACCGTTATCATGACATGATCTTCATTTGCTTCGCCATTTGGAATGTGCTACCTATCTCATGAATACTTTGATAAACTAGGTTAGCACTTAGGGTTTCATCAATTCACCAAAACCAAACTAGAGCTTTCAACCGTACCGGGTACCCCCGTGACGGGTTGCCGGTCATCAAACACCGACAGTCGCCGGGGTGAGAGAGGGCGCCGCCAGGGATGGGGGAGAGCCTCCCACTCCCATGCAACACAGCGCGCACCACCTCCATGGATCTTGCCTGTGCTCCACGGATCTCACTGGGGTGGGGAAGAGGGCCACCGGATCTGTGGTGTTAGGGGCTCCCGGTGGATGAGGACGCCGAGGTGGGGGAGGACGCGCGCCGGGGTGGGCTAGAGAGAGAGAGTGGAGCAGCAGGGGAGCATGAGAGAAAGTCAGAGAGTAGCTCGTTAGGCAAGCGGCGCGTGCGGACCAAAGCGGAGCAAGGCGAGGCGGCGAGGGGTTGATTTTGTTTTTTTATTTATTTAGGCGAGCGGCGTGTCCGGCGATGAGATAAAGTTGTGATGCACATCATGCCACACGTCTGGAGAGGAGTCGTTAGCGTCGGACGTCGTGTTTGTAGTGTTACCGTTTTTTTAGACCAAAGGTCTATTGTCACTACATTCGCACTATTTCACCCCTGCTACCATTGTTGCCGTCTTTCTACTTTTTTTTCCACTTGCTCTTTGTCGTGCTTTTGTCTACGTGTGTCAGGGGTTTGAGGGCTTCGCAATGCAATGCATCCACATCAGTGACTTGAGCGGTCTCGTTAGTCCAAAAGCTGAAGCTATCACCAGAGCATGCGTTGGGTGAGAGAGGAATTGTTCCGCTGCTGTTTGCTATGGGGCAATGTCTGATCAAGTTCTGCAAAAAGCAAATAATATCTCACCAAAGGCAGTTCTTTTGAAGCAGCTTGCGTTGTAAAATTATTTGCCTCAAATGCTTTTGTGTGAACATGGCATCTCTTTTGGGTGAAACTACCACAAACTATTACTAACCTCCATTGGCCCTGACCTAAGAGCACCAGCAACGTAGATGAGATTTGAAACGTCAATCACGTGCCACGTCTGGGCGATGCTTGAGCCAATGAGCCTGCGTTTCTGTCGCAGTAGGTTACAAGCAGCATGGGGTCTACTTGGGGCAGCAGGAAGCTAACACTAGCCAGCGGTCTCACCGAAAAGAAAGGAACACGTAGACATTCCTCGAGGCTCAATTTCATCTCTATACTTTTAAAATATCTGTTTACTTAGACTTTAGTTTTAGACTTAATTTCATCCATAAACTATCAAAGTGTATTTAACTTTTATTTTCAACTCAATTTTGTTTATTCAAAAAGAAAACTTTATATTTTAGGCACAATTTCATCCATAAATTATAACTATAGATCTTCTATTGTTTTAATATATCCATCTATTCCTATAAAGAATAAGTAATGTTCGATGTAACTGTAATTGCTCCCACAAATATCATTTAGTCGGATATATATAAATGGTACAATTATAAGGTAACACTAAAAATAACAGCTTGGAATTATTAATGGCCACGAAAGAGTTTTTTTATGAATATTTTTTCTACCTCCAGTCGCTGGTGGTTTTGGAGCTAACCAGGTGCAACAGTGCAGTGTTCCACGTAGAACGTAGACAAAGTTGAGTTAAAAATAAAAGTTTAAAGAACAAAATACACTTTGATGGTTTATAAATGAAATTAAGCCTAAAATGCAAAGTTTGAGGATTAAAACGATTATCTTCATAGTTCTAGGATGAAATTGAAGCTAAAAGTAGAGTTTGAGGACTAAAACGACCGTTTTAAAAGTTCAGGGATGATGCTGAGCCTTGAGTAATAGTTGAGGGATCAAAATGACTATTCTATCTACTTGAGCTGATGTGTACACTGCACACATAGGTGGAGGCCAGGGCATACATCCAGGGTGGAGCGTTGGGCACGGCCTTAATTGAATACTAACTCTATTCCAAAAAAAGATGCAATTTAAGCGTGCCAGGGCCTTACTTGAATACTAACTCTATTCAAAAAAGATGCAATTTAAGCGTGCCAGGTTAAACGTCTCACGTTTAACTAAGTTTAAGCGTTTCACGTTTAACCAAATTTTTAATAAAATATTATTTATATTTATGACTCCAAATCAATTTATTATGAAAATACATTTTATAACTAATCTAATGATATTTATTTAATATTATAAACATTTATATTTTTTATTTATAATTGATCAAACTTGATATACTAAAACATAACACTGTTCCAGAATTGCATTCTTTTAAGATGGAGGAAGTAATAAAATACTGCAACAGCAAGAAATGAGCATCACAAGCAGCTCCTGCAAACAAATCGAGTGGACATCGGACAAACAAATTGTACTTTTTTCATTTCAAAGTATAAGATATTTTGATTTTCCTAAATACATTGTTTTAACTATATATTCTTAATTATAAGATGTTTTAGTTTTTTTAATACATTGCTTTAACTATATATCTAGATACATAAAATATTTTATTCACAAAAAAAAAAGATGCATAAAATGTTTTAACTATGCAAAAAATTGGAATTCGAAAAAGATAGTGCATTAGGTTATTTTGGAATACAGGAAGTTCAACTGCAAGGGAGGAAAAGGAGTTTCGCCACAAAACACACACACACACACACACACACAAGGGTCAAGGCGTGTTAGCAGTTGATGGTTAACACTTTTTTTCTGGAGTTGCTGCAATGCAAGGGAGGAAAATAAATTCTCTAAAATCTAAATCAACCAAAGAATTAACATGATTGTGTAAATATCTGTTTGGTCACAGCTGGTATACGAAAGAATTGCATGTGTATTTCTGTACAAAAAAGAATTAACAGATCTCCATATAGAAATCCTAGTGTAAATGTGAGACGACCCTATGTCATAGAATACACTGCTGCCACTCTGCTAGCTTGGCATCATATGCAATTAGACAATCACGTCGGAGCGAGTAGGAAACTCAAGGCCTTGAAGCGCTGGGATGTTGTGCAGATCCTCTGTAGAGTACAAGGGAACAAACAAGAGCAACTTTTTGGTACCAAAGACCTGCAGTAACCTGTATTACAAATGGCCGGGACGTATGATATAAAGATCAGCAGTGAATTATACCATAAAGATTACCTGCTCCAAGTTTCTTTTCCATCCTAGGTCATATTTCCATGAAACTGACTTCTTTCGTTCATAGACCTGGAACAAGATTGATCCAAAGCAATCATATTGTAATGTTTTTGGAATGCCACCAAGGAAACAAGGTATTAATCTACTGGGATGCAGTGCTGAAATTATTGACTGAGAAGCAAGAGTAGAAAACAATCAAAATCTGAATTAAAATGATTGGACAGTTTGGAAAGGCTTTGTGTGAGCTATACAATTCCATTTGACGAATACAGCATTTTGAATATTACAGTGCATGATGGCCACATTTGATCCACTTTCCAGATTAACAGGTAATTAAGTAGATGAAGATTGCTGTGTCATCAAGACATTTTTTTTATTTATGAATCATGCAAAAAGAAATTAAAGCAAGAGAACTAATGTCACAGAATCACCTCTATAGAAGTCGTATTACGTGTAACAAGAGAAGCGTGCATGCCAATGAAACAGAGGAGGCTCAGCGCAAATGCCAAATTGAGAACTGCAACAAAGACCAACTGTTACGTAACTTGCATAACTTTGAGGTAAGTAAGTTTGATGCTTCCAAGGAAAGGAAAAGGTTTACCAAAAGCAAGAAATAGAGTAGCAATATCCCCGGGAGAGCTGTAACGCCTACTTTCATCTTGAAAAAATTCAATAAAGTTTGGAAGTAGTACCAAGGTATCCAGCACAGTCTCAATAAATGTATACACCTATATAACATAGGAAAATCAACTTTAAGAGAAATAAATAACAAGAAATAAGGTATCTAAACAGGCAAACAGAGAACATCACTATAGGGGAGGTAAAAAGTAATAAAAATACAATCATGTCTCTTTGGTCTAAGTACAGACCTGGCCTCAACTTTTAGGACTGTTTGTTAATGATTGACAAACTTATCTAGTAGCAGAAAGTAGAGCTTGCACAACTGAATACTATTAATCGGTAATTGATTGTTGGTATGTCAGCACTAGGAAACAGAATTATTGCCAAGTATTTATTACAAGAACAACCAAACCAGTAGAATGGTTGAACTTCAAGAGAAATATTGAAGGCCTTGATTACTTAGCATTTACAGGTTCCTTATTGCAGGAGAATCAAATATTTTTTTCAGCATAAAGAGATGTATAAACAAATTTCTACATACAGTTTGGCAAGAAAATAGTGCTCCATGTCAAACTACGTGAGCTATCCACATTTTTTAAGAAATAAAGTCAGATTTATGGAACTGTGCAAATATAGTGACAGTTTCTGCAAGAACATGCCAAACAATAACATTTCAAAAACAGAACACTCTATGTGGCCACATGGTCAGGAAAACAGAAAAAATATAAAAAAATGAAGAGGGAACAAACAATGTTTAAGTGATACAAATGTGTAGAATAAGCACGAACAGGGAAGCCGCATTAAGTGTTTCAGTTGTACCAGAAAAAGGAGAAAATATTTGTAGTTCCTTGCTCCAACACAATTCACTACCCAAATGCAGTGATGGTCCATTTTGAGCACACATCTATTACCTGCATAGTCAAAAGAAAAGGTTAAAACAAGAACCTAGAGAAAGACTAGATGACATCTAACTTATTCATCCTAAATTTTATGGACGCAATAGAAATCAGGTAAGAGGATGGCAGATCCTTAGCCAAGCTAATAAAACCAGAAGAAAATCAAAGACTTTCTTGGCTATGCATGTATATCTTGTAGATTTGCTATACGATAACTGGTTAATGTTCAATGCCACTATAACCACTAGATATTTTGCAGAAATCTGACAGTGTTTGGTTTTTTTAATCATAGCAAGGAACATCAACAAGAACATCCGGATCAGGAACCAAAAATACTGAACAGTGCCAAGAAAAAGTTAACATAGATATGATAACTACCACAAATACTAGTTAACATGTGACTGGGGCAAAGAATCACTAATGAACAATCGTTTGGTTGCAACTTTTCAAGCAGTGGTCATAAGTTGAAAGGTTAGTTGCCATCCACAGGAAAGATGACTTACAAACAGAACAATGATGACAGCGGGGAGGTTTGCCATTTTGACAGCGAGAGCAATATCTAGGAGCACTTCCTTGCTCCTCTGAAGAGGAAAATGAAGGATTCCCACTATCTTCGGCATCATGTCTCCAATTTTCAGGTACAGCACCAGGATCAGTGAAAACAACCGCCAAATAGCACCAAAGAATCATTGCAAGCTGCAGAAGAAACAAGATCCCTGAAGAAGTTTAAGCAAGACAGAATCAAATATAATCATGATTCGTGTTTCTAATTTTAAAGTTCATGTTAGAAAGTAAAAAATATAATATATTCAAGGTACTGTGTATAAAACGAGATATTCTCAGTCTAGCTGGAAGAATCAAAGCTTTTTTCCCCTTATGAATCTAGGAAATGGAACATCCACTTCATTCAAGACATTCGCCGTCATTTAGTTAACCTAATATGCTACAGAAACGGGTGTCTGGATGGGTAGTATTTCATTGGATAAATCCCATCATTCCAAGGAAATTCCACCAAGACATTCACCGTCATTTACTTAACCTAATATGCCACAGAAACCTGGCACATGTGTAGTTAATGTTCCATTCAGAAATATACTCCGTATGATGTTAAAACGTGAAGACCATATTCGAGAAAAACAAAACGTGCAGTCAAACTTCTCTAGCTATGACTGCTAATATGAAAAACAAAGCATCTGGGGACCGCTAACTTATGTGAAAAAGGTATAGTTAAATTTATTGTTGAGAACAAATATTCCATGACTATTTACTGACATATTCATATGAAAAAGGCGAGGTCAAAGTTGCAGCTTGAGGATAGCAGAGATTGTAGTTATATGGTTTAGCCTCCAAGAACACATACCAGTTACCACCAAAAAAAAAAAAAAAGTCACTAATTAGTTTGGTGTCCAGCAACAGCTCAATCAGAGCAACCTATCGTTTCCTCGGGTCAACCACGATTAATCGCCACCAACTGATCCTAAACGAACTGTGACCCACAAATGACGGAGTTGTTTGTCACTTTGTAAATATCCTTTTTTTCTATTTATTCTACTAATAAAATCTCGGCAAAGCTTTTGCCAACCCTTCCAGAAAAAATGACGGAGTTGTTTCACAAGTCAAATACATTTTCACAGTTGCACAATAATACGGGTCTGAACAGAGAATACCACCAGCAACGCGTGAGTGCATCATAATTCAGTACCCATTGTACATGTCTAGGATGCACATTTGACAAGCATAGCTTAACTAACCCTAGAATCAATCCAAAGGAGTAACGGTGATAAATATGCAATCTGATCGATGGTGGGAATTTCTATAGTTAAGTCAAAACTTTGGACGGAAATGAAATCTTTCAGACTCTATAAGCTTATTGCAGATGTCTCACGCTGTAGTACTGAACATAGATCTTAACAGAAAGGGGAGAGGAGCGAGGGCGTCGGCGCTTACGAGTATGTGGAAGGCGGCGATCACGGCGGCAGCACCTGCCGCGGCTGCTCCCCCGGCGAGGACCATGGGGCCCCAGGTGTAGACGACGACGGCGTAGTAGGACAAGGCGACGATGGCGGCGACGAGCGCCACCACGAGGTAGCCCAGCCCGCGCAGCCCCGCGCAGGCGCGGAACGGGTTCACGTGCCGGCAGCAGTCCATCTCCTCCCGCGAGGTGGGGCACGCCTCGGGAGGAAGCAAAGGCAACGCGGCGGCGGCGGACCGAACGGGGCCGTGTGTCGGTGGCGGCGCGCGCTGGCTGGTTGTTGGCTGTTGGCCTGTTGCTTGCTGGTCTTGTTGCGTCGCTGACTACAGGGACCCCAGCAGCGACCTTGATGCCAGCTGGGCCTACCATACCAATCTGTTGCACCTAGTACCATTTTCTAGCTAGAGTGTGAGGGCATCTGTTTTTTTTTTGAGACTGGGTATCTGCTTTTGTTCACTAGGAGCAGTTTGACGAGTTGGAATGAGCTTTCGCTGGCTCATGTGCTTATTGGTAAATTTGCTGTAAGATATCTTTTAATATTAATATTTACTGAGATATATTTAAAAAAAATATTATTAGTATAATATTTTGAAATAAGTGGAAAAAAGTTAAGGGTGACCATTATTCTACGGACTATTATACTACGAACCTTAATTATTATTTAAAAAACTTAACTTTGGCATATTAGGCCGGTAGAGTTCAATGAGATATATAGTTTTGTAGTTGATAAGTTTTTAATTTTATACTATTTAGAGAGACAAAAAATCTGAATTTTTCAAATGACCATGGATGCTGACATGTCCATGGTCCATACAAACATAGCAGTTATCAGTATGATCTAAAACTTTTTAGTTGATTCTTTTTTGTCTGAAATTATTTAGACTCCTAATTATTTGTTTTATTTTTTTAGTTTTAAAATTCAAAAAGAATCTTCAAATGACTTCGGACGTTAACACAATCTATACACCTAAGTTGTTTGAAAAAATAAAATTTTTGAATTTTTAAAAATCTAGTAAAATAAAATAAACATTTAGGACTCTTAATGGCTTTATCAAAGAATATCAACTGCAAAGATATGGATCATATTGATAATTGTGTCGACATCTGATGTCGTTTAAAAACTCTAAATTTCAATTTTAAAATTCGAGAATTTTTTTAGAAAAAACTTTTGGTGTCATAAGTAATTTTAAATAAAAAAACTTGTTAACTATAAAGTTGTAGATCTCATTGAGTTGTACAATGTTGATATAAATTTCATCTTCAACTTCATATGTAGACGTTATGAGTTTTTTAGATAATTATTAAGGGTGTAAAATAATAGTCAGGGCATAATGGTTAAGACAATATTGAGCGGTGTCTATCAATAAATATCCTACAATTAGTTTACCCTATTTATTCTCCTGGTTGGGGCATTCTCTTCTCTATGGTAGCAAGAATATGGAGGGAGAGAGAATCTCGAGGGACCTGACAGCAGGACCTCTTGTGTGTGGCGTAGGGAAGCAAGGGGGACTAAGTCATGGTACGGTTATAGGGAGCTCGAGAGTCTTGAGGGAGAAGTCGTTGAAGGGAGTGAATGCGAGAAGAAGGAAGTGAAATCATATAACACCAGGTTGAGAGCGGCATCAAGATTGTATGGGCCAGTAACCATCTACTAGGTGATTGGCTACAAATTGGGAGAAGCAACACTATCCGTTCATATGGTGAACCGATGGCAGACAAAAAAGGTCAAACCAAACCAGAGGCGAAGGTAAGTTGTGGTTAGGGGTGCAAATGCACCCAAAAAAAAACAATGAACTTGATTAAAATTCTAAGTACTATATAAGTACCATATGAGACATGTTTATGCACCCACAGCCACAAGATATGTGAACCCCTTCTAATTTGTTATAGCTTCACCTGAACGAAACATCACCTAAACGCTTTTGTTTGAGCAGAAAACTAAAGAGAACTTTATATGTGGGCAGTGGGCATCACCGCCATCTTCTCGTCACTTGGTAGATTGTAAGAAATGAACATATATGAACCCATCTCAACAAGTAGTTGAATGGAAGGTGCCACGGAGTTCAAGCTTGACCTCGAATTAGGTACTTCTTTTATTCTTAATTATTAATTAAAAAACGTTTGTTTTTCCTAGCTAGGTTGCTCTCTCTTTTTTCAGTAGCACATGGTGCATCGAATTGTGTCGGGGACCGACCGTACCTAAGAGTTTGGCAATCGGCAGGATACCAAACCTCTGGCACACTGGAGAGAGATATAGGATGAGTTGGGTAGCGTGGCCGGCCCGAGCACGCGAACATGCCTCGGCCAAGACATCACGCATTTCCCGTGCACTCCTCGCCGGTTTGGGTTTATGCTAGTTTGTTTCTCTCACGCCCCACGGGGAGGGGCCAGCAGAGCCGGCATGAATCGGCGCGGCACGCACGACGCATGCTCGGTCCGTGGATCGCGGGCGCGGCGCCTCCCTCGGCCTCGATCGGTCACGCGTCCGCGGCAGCCGGCAGGCGTCTTTGGTTTGGTTTGGTTTCCTTCCTTCCCCGCGACGTCTGCGCGAAAGCACACCCAGCACGGCACGGAACGCCTGTGTGGACTTGAGTTGGGATGATGAGTGAGGGGCGCGCGCGCGCAGGCGGTGGTGTTGCTCCGACTCCGATCGATCCGCTGGGTTTGCGTGTTGGCAACAGGCAGATGCCACGACGCACGTCGTCTATCGCAGATCGAGACGATTGGTGGAGAAGGGAAGGGAATTAGCATTCGATCGTTACTACCTTTTTCCGGGTGGTTTACGTTAATCAATCAATCTGCGCTCAGCGGTACGTGCTGTCCCTGTTGCTTCCCAATCCATACCATGGGGTTGGTGGCTGCTGCTGGTGGAATGTGGATGGTGATGGGGCGATCCATCGATGGCGCCGGCCGTCCGCCGTGCCATGTACTAGTACTATAGGCGCAGCTAGGTATGGTTGTTGTTCGTCCGCTTCAGGCTTCAGCTGCTGCCGTCGTCAACAGCGATGGCATATTGATCTGTGCATGCTGGTCAGCGCATAGTTTGGCACACAACCAGCATGGATCTTACATATAGAAGCTTTTATCTATATATCTACTCAATCCGTTCCAAAATAAATGATGTTTTTTTTATTTTCAGACATATTATTTGACCATTCGTCTTATTTAAAGTTTTTTGTGTAAATTATAAAATAAATAAATCATTATTCAAACATCTCTAATGATAAAAATAAATCATAACAAAATAGATAATATTTATATAAAATTTTTTAATAAAACGAACGATCAAATAAGATGTCTAAAAGTAAAAAAAAACGTCACCTATTTTGAAGAGAGGAAGTATATAACAGGCCACCGTAGCATGCATCATCCAGCCGATCCAATTTGCTCGGGCTTTCTAATGCTTCCGATGTTATTCTGTTTGGATAAATCGATTCGAGCTATAAAATTTTTAAATACCGAAGAATTCCGAATAGAATAAAAGGAGAAAAAGTATGAAGGAATTCACGACTAGTATTATCTATGAACTTTTTCTTTCACTATAAGTGCTCCTATATATTTTGATGCTTATAAAAATCTAACGGTTCCTCATAATAATTGTTCGAACATGTGCAACAACCACCACTGGCTTTCGATAAGACACAGTTCGACGCGCATGTACGTGATGTACACAGCGCGTCCGGTCCGATGACGGCAATGGCAGATTGACAGCAAATCAGCGACCAATTAATATATAATCGCTGTCCAAGTCGTCCAAGGATGAGATGAACCAAAAGCAATGCAAATCATTGGGCACGAAAAAAAAACAAATCATTATTGGGGCATTCTTTGTGTTCCACGCATCATTGGACACAGCACGGGACGCCACATGCACGGTTCATGGTTGGGTCGAGTACAACCGGGTGATCCATCATAATGGACGAGCAGATCGAGCTGGATCCATGTAGCAGATCGTCGAGCCTCGTGATTGATCCATGAAGCAAGTGGTCGATCTGTATGCCGCTATACCTTTTTTTTCTCTCGCAAGTGTGCTAGTAGCATTATTATGCCTCTCGGCACAAAAAGATCGATAGAAAGAGTGGCGTAGCAGCAGCTAGCATTGGTAGTTTCGTACAGGGCGATCCAGCAGAAAGCCACGCATGTCGATCCATGGGACCTTAAGTATCAAATGATTTAGGCGCCACTATGTTTTAATTTGGTTCCCTCAGGTATTCATGTTTTCACACCGTTTTTTAAATAGTTGACGGGAGTGGACTCATTAGCGGAGCCAGAAGCCATTAGGAGCCTGGGCAATCCTTACTATGCAAAAATATTTAGCTAGAAAACTATAGGGTTCTACTTTGATATAAAGAAAATTTTCTTTTGAATGTCGGTTCTCATTTCGAGCCCTTATCTGCTAAGCCGCCCTCACAAAATTATGGAGCCATACATGCACAAATGGGCGGTGGCTCCGCCACTGAGTGGACTATAATTTAAGGCTACATGGTTATTATGTTGAAAACACATCTTTGTAGGTTACGAGGGTTATTTGGTTTCCCTCTGGTGTCAACCTGTCCTGTCCTCGAGTCGCTAGAGATACTCCATGCACAAATAATTGCGCATGGAAGCTCATCCAAGTATGAAAATTACTCCCCCCGTTCAAAAAAGATTGCAATTATAGAACAATGTCATATTTTATTATCTTATTAAATTTGACTAATTATAGATAATTTTTTTAACATCTATGATATCGAATAAATATCACTAGATTAATTATGAAATATTTTCATAACAAATTGATTTTGGAACCATAAATGTGAATATCATTCACTGGAATCTTGGTCATACATGAATCACTTTAACTAAAATCTTGCTCAAACATCAAACACTTTAACTAGCACGCAAGCCATAATAGAATCTTTTTGGGAGAGAGAGAGTACGTAAGATGACATCAACTCAAGAAAAAATCTGACGCATGTTTAAAGAATTGGTTATGATAAGCAAATTCTTTTATCCACGTACCCTAGAAAACTGGTGTTGGATTTTACCCCTGTTGCTTCACGCCTATCTCATGTGCATCAAACTGTCATGGGAATGTTGTAAAAAAAACTGTCATGGGAGGATTTTTTTTTCTTGAGGTGAGAAATTTAACCTTACTCCTATATCATGGTATACAGGGAGGTGAAATTTTGACCTT